GAGTACGTCCTGCGCGTGTCGCGGCTGCGTGTCCTGCTCCGTACGGGGAGCGTCTGAACCCCGTTTCTCACTGGGAGCTCACGACGGAAGGGCGTGGAGTGCCCTTTAGGACGGTGGGTGCTGAGGGCTGCCGCGGCCCAGCTCGTCACCGTCCGTAGCCAACGACCGAGGTCTCAGGAGAGGGATGGACGCAGCCGAGGCTATCACGGTGCTGACAGGACCTGCCGCGCCTTCTGGGGCCCCGACCCAGATGCTGGCGGGCGTGGGCTAGCTCACCACGGACGCCGAGCTCACCACGTACGCCGGCCTCGGTCATCTACGATGGACGCTTTGGGACTGTGGTTCTCTACCTCCCTCGCCCGGCTGCTGCAAAGCAAGTCGCAGAGACCCCAAGATGAGCCTTGTTATGCTCAGTTCCTGGTGGAGGCATCGTGCTGTCTGAGCTCGAGGGATCAGGGTGTTTTGGGGGGTCCCAGAGTCAGACATCGCCTTCAGCTTATGAGCCTTATCCTCTGATGCTGCTGTGCAGGACCAGGACACCTGTCCGTGCCTTGAGCATCTTCTGCAGGTTCGATGCAGGGTGGGGGGGCCCTAGCACAAGCTCGGGGACAGGTGGGTGCTCATGCCTCACAGGACATGGTGGGGTAACAGCAGCCCGAGGTGGCCCTCCCAAATGGGGGGTCTCTATCCTTTAACAAGTGAAGGCTCGCTGGTTTTGGCTGAACCCCCCGTGGCAAAGTCGGGGTGCCAGGCACACTCAGAAGGCCGTGGTCCTCGCTTTCCTGATCCGAGGGGAATCCCCAAAGCCTGTTGGACGGCGGCAGGAAGTAGATGGCCACGTCTCCCGGAGCAACAGCCTCCGTGGCCACTGTCTGTCACTCCCCCATGGCGGGCAGTGGGCGCCGGAGCCGGGAGCGTCGGCCCCGGGTTCGAGAGTGGCTTCTGTCCCTTGCTCACTGCGTGACCTGGGGCAGGTTCAGTAGGCGCTCTGTGCTCTGTGCCTCAGTCTGAGGTGACACTGTGAGGGGCGTGTCCCCGTGTGTGTCACTCAGAACACCCTCTGGCTGTCCCTGGGGGAGGGGCGGCTTCTCCACGATCACGGCCGCCCTTCCTGGGGACAGCTGGGGGTGAACACGCAGGACAGGGGTCCCCGGGGAGGTGTCCGGGACCCAGGACGCGCGTGCGGTGGCATCTGCCAGGGTTGTCACCAGGGCGTTCTCAGGAAATGTCCTGCATAGGTGCCTGCCGGGGTCCCCTGTGCAGTTGAAGCTCCGAGCCCCGGTCAGTCCCCTGGGCACGTGGATCCGGGGCCTTGCGGAGCCGGCGGTAACCGCGGTGACCTAGCCCGCCGCCTGCACCCCCGGGGCGGCGGTGGCCGCTTCCTGGTGCCCGTCACCCCCTCTGCCCGCCCCCCAGGCTGTTCCGGGGCCCTGGCCAGGGAGTGCGCGTCGCTGTATCCCGGATGCTACGTCACCGTGTTCGACCTCCCGGAAGTCGTGCGGACGGCCAGGAGGCACTTCCCGGTCCTGGAGGAAGCACGAGTCAGCTTCCGCGAAGGTGGGTCGGGGACGCCGGCGGGGGGCGGTCTCCAAGGCTCCCAGCCGCTCCGCACGAGCCCCCTCTACTTAGAAATGTTACTCACGACGGACGGAAACCTGTGTGAAAGAATCTTGGTTCCCTGCGATTAGCAATTCCTTGTGTATTGTTGTGGGTTAAATAGCGTCCCCTGAAAACTCACGTGCACCCAGAACCTGTGAATGGGACCTCAGAAACGGGGTCTGTGCAGATGGGATCAGTGAGGGGTTTGGGGTGAGTCCTCCTGGAGCAGGTGGCCCTGAACCCAGGGACAGAATGGGAGACACAGACACAGAGAAGCCACGTGGACACGGAGGCAGAGACGGGAGGGACGTGGCCACCACCCCAGGGACACCTGGGGCCCCCAGACACTGGGAGAGGCAGGAAGGACCCTCCCCTGGGGCCTCCGGAGGGAGCGAGGCCCTGGGACACCCGATGTCACCCCGCTGGCCCCCAGGACGGGGGAGCACGGGTGTCACGTGCGTAGCCCCCAGTGGCTGTGCGGGCTGTTGGTTCCCTTCATCTGATCACACAGGAGCTGCTGGCCGATGGCCGCGGCTCTCGGAACACAAGGCTGAGGGCCGCTGCAGGAAGTGGTGAGAAGGGACCTCGGGGAGGGAATTAGAGACCTTCCCCGATGGCGGGAGGGGCCCCAAGCGTCGTCCGGAGGTTTCCTGTCTCCACTGAGGCCTCTCTCTGTTCAGGGCCAGGTTTGTGCATCCAGGTGACACGTCCACGCTGGGCGCTGGGTCAGTCCGAGGGCTTGGACCGCACACTGACCGCAGGGCCGCTGCGCTGTGTTCCAGGGGATTTCTTCAAAGACCCGCTCCCGGAGGCGGACCTGTACGTCCTGGCCAGGATCCTGCATGACTGGAGCCCCGAGAAGTGCGCTCAGCTGCTGGCGAGGGTGCATCGGGCCTGCAGACCAGGTGGGCGGAGCGACGGACACGCGGCCCAGCTGTGCTCCGAGGTGCAGCCACCTGCTGTCCACAAGGACGTGGGCGCAGCCTCTGTCTGTGACGGGGACACTGCCCAGCTGTCCTGTGAGGTCCATGAGGACGTGGCACAGCCCCTGTGTGACGGGGACACTGCCCGGCTCTCCCGTGAGGTCCGTGAGGTCGTGCGCACAGTGGTTTCAGGGCCACCCCAGTGGCCGTAGTGAATTCTCCCAGACCGAGCCTGTGTGATAGGTCTGGTGACCAGACATAGCTCCACGGTCCCGATGGGAAAGTCTCGTCCCAGAAGCGTCCGGCGCCCTCAGAACGGTTCACGCCCCACGGTGCGCGTGGCACGGGGCGGGCTTATCCTTAAACGACGATTTCCGTGAATCTCAAATCCGCCTCTACCGGCTGTGGCTGGGTGCGTTTCCGGAGGGTCGATCCCGCCACCCCCCGGGAGCCGTAGGCCCCCCGGTCTCCGTTTGTCACCGAGTCCCAGGCTCCCGAGTCCCTGCCACGGCCCGGGGTCACCCTGCCTCCTGGTGGCATAGCTGCGTGGGTGACGAGTTCTTTCCACGGTCACCGGCCGACTGCTGGCGGGTCGCGTGTGCAGACGCCCGCACCTGCAGGCAGCGAGGGACTGCGTGTAACGGCGTCGGACGCTGTCTACACCTGCCTGGCTGTTGTCCCAGTGGCCTGTGGCTGCCCCGGGTTTTCTGTCCTCGAGGCTGGCTCTCGGCAGGGGGCCCCTGCTCAGCCTCTGGTCACGAGTCGGCCAGGAGGCGTCCACTGCGTCCATGGTAGGTGCGTGAGGCGGGTCCACGGCCTCTTCTCGTCTCTGCTCCTTGCTACTGAGTCGTCAGCGACTCTGTTCTCTATGCCGTGGGGACTGTGCGTGCACAGGAAATGAAGGTTAAAATGTGGAGCTCCATAGGGGTCGAAACCAGCGACGCAGGCAGCGGTGCAGGTGACACTGGCAGGTGATGCAGGTGACACCGGCCGGCGGTGCAGGTGACAGAGGCAGGGTCCGCTGAGGGCTCGTGCGTCCGGGAGCCTGAGCGCGTGTCCACACCCCACGTGTCCTGGGCGCCCTCAGAGATGCTCCGAACGCTGGATCTTTGTGACAAATTTGATGTTTTCTGTTGCTTGAGTCAGAGACGGCCCCACAGTGGGCTAACAGCCCACCCCCGAGAGGGCTGCGAACCTTGTCCCAGCCACTGCGAGATGAGTTTGGCTCAAGGTCTTGCTCCTCCGCTGACGGCGGTGCCGCCAGCCGCGTGGCTGGGCATTCCGGGCCCTGGTCATCTGCTGAGGTGGCGGCTCTGCGTCCCACACTGCGCCTGCTGCCCGCATACAGCTCCCGCCGCGTGCGTGCGCTGGCCGGCACCCCGGTCCACGCTGGCCGGCCGGAGCTGGCAGGAACGGGGGGCGTCGGGTTTGGGGCCCCTCGGCGGCTGAGGACAGCAGGTGTCCAGGGCCTGGGAGAGCCAGCGGCGTTGGGGGCTGGGAAAGGGGAGCGAGAGAAGCAGGGGACAGTAGAGCCTCGTCCGGGCCGTCCCTTACTCACGCCTGCTCTCTCCGTGCCAGGCGGTGGCCTTCTGGTCATCGAGAGCCTGCTGGACGCGGACGGGCGGGGACCTCTGACCACGCAGCTGTTCTCACTCAACATGCTGGTGCAGACGGAGGGCCGGGAGCGCACGCCCGCCCAGTACCGCGCGCTGCTGGCCGCCGCCGGCTTCACGGACGTGCAGTGCCGCAGGACGGGGGGCCCTTACGACGCCGTCCTCGCCAGGAAGTAGCGCCCGGCAGATGTGCCGCTGCCGCAGGACGCCGGACGCCGCAGCCGTCACGGAGGGACACTCCCGGTCACGTGTCTCCCTCTCGGTCCTGACTGACGAGCGACGCGGGTTTCGGGGGACAGGAGCCCGTGGCCGTCCGTGTGGCTTTCGTCTTGTTTTCTTCTGTTTATTGCGTTCCGTTCCACCCAGTGCACACAACTCTGTCGTCCTGCATGCTGCCCGCCACACGGGGATCAGCACCTGCACGTCTCGGGGACATGAATCTGCCACACGGGGATTAGGACATGGACACCTTTGGGGACATTATTCTGTGCTTTACATGGAGATTAGGATGTGGGCACCTTTTGGGACATTATTCTGTCTGCCACACGGGGATTAGGACACGGACACCTTTGGGGACATTATTCTGTCTGCCACACGGGTTTAGGACGTGGGCGTCTTGGGCCACCAGTAGGCTGGGCACAGAGTGACTTCTGTCCTTGCTGCAGCAGCCCCTGAGGCGACCACCTTTCCCATGGTCCCCTGAGCCCCGCCCACTGTGTCCCTCAGTGGCAATGTCCCGCCCACTGTGTCCCTCAGTGGCAATGTCCCACGTGGGTGGATAGGTGGGGACGGCCCTCGCCCCAACCCCGACAGCGCCCTTGCCGGCCGGAGGCGCCGTGCAGCCTGTCTTGGGGCCTCGTGAGGAACCCGATGTCCTCACCGTCCCCGACCCACCCTGGACGGGAGCCAGCCGTGTGTGCACCATCGTGGAGCCATGTCCGGCCAGCGGGCCCCTCAGAGGCGCCGGCGAGCACGTCGGCAGGAGGCACACGCGTGTCCTCGCGTGGAGGGGGTGCAGTCTCGTGGAGCCTCTGCTGCAGATCTGGGACCCTCCCCCACAGACCCCGCTGCACGGAGGGCCCTGCTCTGTCTCCCCTAAACCACGGGGCAGCAGGACGAGGGTGTCGCACTGGCATATTTGGGGATTTTTGAACCTTTTTTCCTTTCTTCAGTCTCAAGTTACTCCAGGCGTCAGGGCGACAGTTCGTGCGTGTGTGCGTGTGCGTGTGCGTGTGCGTGTGCGTGTGCGCTCAGCAAATCCGAGCCGTGTTACTGCAGCCTTGAGGACGCAATGGCGGTTCTTTCTGTGTGTGTTTAACTCAGGGCTGCCCGGCACACAGGGCCGCCAGATCACAACGCGATACTCGCGTGTCTTGGGAATGGGTCACCGTCACAAGCCCCTTACGACGCGTCCCCTCGCAGAGCGACCGTTTATTCTCCTTGCGATGAGAGCTTTTGAGGTGCAGTCTTAGCGACTGTGACCATGCGATGTCCCCCACTGCGGCCGCCGTGCCGTCCGTCCACGCTCAGGATCGGCTTGTTCCCGAGCAGCTCTCGAGTGTCTTCACCCGCGGCCCCGTCCCCACCCCTGGCAGCCTGCGAGCCGAGGTGGCTTTTCTGTGTCACTGCAGATTCTGCACCCCTAGGTGAGATCACACGGTGTGATTCCCCGCCCGCCCCCCGCCAACCCTGTGTCACGCTTACTCAGCACAAACACGGCGATGCACGGCTTCTACTGTGGAGAAATAAACTCAGCCTGAAATCGGCCGTCTCCGCCTGTTTGAAGTGTACAGTCCGTCATTTCCCTGCAAACGACCCCACCACCCACGTCACCAAGTTTTCTTCATCTTCGCAAAGTGAAACACGTCGCCTTAGGGTCCCAGCACCCCTATTCCCGGGCTCCCGGCCCGGGGGTCACCCACCTGCGGCCGAGCACGCCCGGCCACTGCCCTGTACGCACAGCAAGGGGGTGGGCCCAGTGCTGGGACCAAGAGGCTGGCTCGGGACCCCAAGGAGAGGGGACTTAGGGGTAGGGAGGGGACTTAGGAATGGCGAGGGGGACAGATGGGTCATTTGATGTGACCGGCTGTGAAGGAGCAATTGTCCCGAGGAACAGCAGGGGGCGCTGGCGTCCCATCGTCTCGTCAGCCGCCGGTGGACCGAGGTCTGTGTGGAAAGACGTCAGGGACAGGAAGCTCTGCTTCCTTTCGGGGTGGACAGACGTAGCCCTCCGAGAGCTGACATCTCCACCTCCCCGTCCCGTGTAAAAACCCCGTGCTGAGCACGTGCAGCCCGTGTGAGCCGACAGGACGTCTCCTTGAGAGGATGCGTCCCCAGCCCCGGCCTCTTCCGTCCTCGTCAGGGTGGCTTTGCGTGTCACACGCTCTGCAGAGAGCGCGTCACCCACGGGAGCAGCGCGCGGCAGGTCCGACAGAGGACGGCCACGGCGTGGCGCCTGCCTCTCGTCGGTGAAAGTGTTGGACACGTGTCACATGGACCGCGCCGACCCGTCCTGCTGTCCCCGAGTCCGGCCGTGGGCGCCGTGTGGCCGTGGCCATGCCTGAGGGTGCATCCCAGCCCTGGCAGGCGGACCGCGGGCCACGGGCACTGGGGAGCGACCGTCTGGGAAGCGACGTGCCGTCACCACCCGTGGACGGGGGTCGGCCCACGGGCACCCACTGCGAGACGATGACGATGCAGTGACCGAAAGCCAGGGTCTGACGTGAGCGCACCCTGGAGCAGGTGGCCCTGCACGCAGGGACGGTGTCCTTATAGGGGCCAGAAGGAGAGTCACAGGCACGGAGGTCACGGAGACAAACACGGGAGGGTCACAGCCACCAGCCCAGGGACACTTGGAGCCCCCAGACGCTGGGACAGGCAGGGAGGACCCTCTCAGGCGCTGTCCTGGGACCCCCGATGTCACACTGACGGCCTCCAGGACCGGGGAGGGTACACATCTCTCGTTTGAGGCACTAGCCCTGGGGTTTCATACGGGGAGCGGTTTCCATGGTAACTGTGCTCCCCATACGAGCTGTCATGTTCGGCAACATCTGCCTCCCCCTTGGGTCCCAGCTTACCAAAGGCCTGTGTGGGGTGCACAGTGGCCCGTTGCTCCGGGGACAGGAAGCTGCATATGTGCTGTCACCCTGTGTTTCCTGCGGACTGGGAAGTCCCACGGGCGTCATGGAACACGGCTCAGCGGCAGGGCCGCAGACTTCCTGCTTCTCGAGTTGTCTCCAAGGCACAGTCCCAAGGTTTCTGAGCGACGACGGAGCCAGCGTCACCCCCTGTCCAGCCGAAGCCTCCAGGGGATCCCTCTGATAAAAGCTGCCCGTTCGTAGAGCCAGGACCCAGCAGAGTCGCCGAGGGACAAGCCGCTGCGGAGGAAGCAGACGGAGCAGACGGCCAGGTCGCACATGTGGACACAGGTGGACGGCCTGAGTGCAGGTGAGAGAACTTTCTGGAAGGCCGTCCCGTCTCCTCTCTGCGGTCCATCCTCACGTCAGCGGCATCCTGCACCAGCGTCCCAGAGCGTCCGGGATTCCTGCCCAGACAACCTCGCGACCTCGCAGCCCGTGACACTGTTGAGAATGACCCTTGGGAGCGGTTTTCGCCCCCGAGGTGTTTCAGGCTTAAACAGACTGGACGGAGCGAAGCTTCCTGCCTCGTCCTCAGGGACGAGCCCGTCCCCCTCGGCCACCGGGAACCTGCTGCTCTGCACCCCTGTGGATTCAGTGCCCCCCCAGGGACCACGTGCCACCACCTACTAAGGGACACGAGGCTTGATCATCTTCATTTCGTCTTGCCGAAAAATCTGGTCTAGGTTTCAGAAAAACTAGAGAGGAAATGAATTTGTTTTCATCGGATGTGCTTTACTGAGTGGGAAGAAAGTCATGCATTCCCGATTCCATCGACTCTGTCTGTCTGTCTATCCATCTGTCATCTGTCTATCCCTCCATCAATCCATCCATCAATA